GTTAAGGTCTCCCTTGCACCTTTTTTTAGTTTCCTCTGCTGGGGCATACATGAAACATAGCGGCAGAGTTGCTGAAATGATAAAATGACGAGCACTCCCATAGTGTAAAACTGTATGTACTAAAGGATGATTAAAAGCTTGTAAATGTACTCGCATTAAAACGAGCCACAAGGCTACACAGGTATGTCCATATAGCAATGGCATTACTCTGGGCTGCACTGAGCGGTCCCAGCCGTCCGTGGTCTAGTGTGCGATGACATTACTGAATGTCAGTTCCCATAGGGTGGGGCCTACAGTAGACATAGCTGGCAAGTTGGCAACTTTGCTTTAAAATCAGATCAACCTTGTCAGCATAGGTTGTTTTCAGTTCCTATAGAGCAGTGATGGCGAACCTTTGAGACTGCCAAAACTGCAACCCCAAAACCCACTTATTTATTGCAAGGTGCCAGCACTGCAAATAAACCTGAATACTGAGGTTTAACTTTAGAAAAAACAACCCATACATTAGGATCTTTTTGTTTTAAAAGAAAAACACAACAGCTTCCACTGCTACAAGGGGGCAAAGTTCCACTGGCCACTGGCACAAGCTAAAATCTTGTGTTAATAAAAACAAATGTATTAAAACTCACAGCCAGTCAAATATATAAATTGGCAGTGCACTGACTGGCCATGCGAAAGCTCGGATGAGTCTCGGCTAATGTTATCGCCTGGCGCTGTTTTTCCTTTCCGAGCATGCACATTGGCCCGTATGTGCGCTGTTATCTGATGCTTGGCTGCTGGGGAAACTTGGCTTGCCTTCCGACAGAGTGGGGTCTGCGTGCCCACTGCGGCACACGTGCCATAGGTTCGCCACCACTGCTATAGGGTTTCCCAAAGGAGTGGTTTCTTTTAAGTGAAAGGTATGTATTTAAAGGAAAGTTACAAGATAGTGCTCAGCATAAATGAGTACACCCCAACAGATTTGTCAGAAAACCTTTACTTTCCTTTTAGAATCAACATTTTCTATGGGACGCTATACTACAAAATACTCCCACAAATACGGCCCATTGTGTGCAAATGAACAAATTTTGTTTGCAATCCAAGTATTTTTCCTAACAAATTCATTCAAGACCTTGTTGCAAAAATGAATACACTGGAATGGAAGTCTTAGGAGCAAAGCTAAATTTTAGATAAAATCCTATTAAACAAGAATTCAACTACAGGTGAGTCTAATTATTCATTATACAGGTGTCCAGCAGACAGTTGATTATAAATGGGCGCATTACTTAAAGAAAACTCCCTTTCCATTTCATGCTGCCTGCAATGGAACCACATGGAAGAGAAATGTCATATGACCTGAGAAAATAATTTCTTTACACAAGAAGGGTGATGGCTACAGGAAGCTTTAGCAAAGATTTACTTACTAATCCCACAACAGTAAAATCAGTCTGTATATGCAGTAAAGCATGCTTGTTATACTCACTGTGGTACCTAAAGGGTTAATCTGCATTGTGTGTAAAGGATATTTGAGCATGTCTTCTCTGATCCACCCCCTTCTTCCAGTGTCTACTTCTAGTTTGGTGTGTATTGCTAGTGGTGTTTTTTTTTTTTTTTTTTTTTTGGGAAAGTGCATGTGATCAGCACAGACCCAATCGGCACTCTCCAGTCAGAGGTTCTGCATCCTACAGGAGAATGAAAACTCTTCCTACAAACTGTGACCAGTACACTGCTGGACACTGATAGAAGTCACAAAACTGTTTTAACTGCTGATTAGAAAAGGGATTTAGCAGTTTATAGTTACTATAATAATTGCATTTCCAAGTACTGCGAGAGACCAGATATAGTAAATACAGGATCCTGGGTTTAGTAACACTTTTAACAAAGATGGAACTGCAACCATCTCAGACTTTCAGGCTGTACACGGAAGTTTACACCTTGACAGGAGCGTCTTCTGATGAGAAGGGTTGAAGAAAATTACCATGCAGGTCTCTGCAGTTAGCTAAAGAAGTAGAAAGCCAAACTGGGGTGATTGTTCCCTGTGACACAAAATGGCATACACTGCAGAGGAATGGCATGCATGGGTGTCATCCACGAAGGAAGCCTCTCCTGAAGCCCATGCACAAAAAAGCCTGCCTAGAATTTGCCAGGGTCCATGCTGAACAAGGTGGCTACTGTGACTCTGTACTCTGCAGTGATGAGACCAGGATAAATGTTTTTGAAACTTATGGCGTCGCAAAGGTGAGTACAAAGAAAACTGCATGGTGGTTGCAGTGTCCTCCTGTGTGGCTGCATTAATGCTGCTGGTGTCGGGGAGCTGCATTTCATTGATGGTATCATGAATTCACAGATGTACTGCTTTATGTTGAAAGAGCAGATGCTACCATCACTCTGTGCCCTTGGTTGTCCAACATGATCCAAAACACATCTAAGGCCACTGTTTCATTTCTGAAGATATCCTCAGTGACACCAATACAGTTTTCGGTGCTAAAAAAAAAAGTACTGACACTGTACTAATGGCACTGGGCATGAAGGGGTTAACATCTGGGGAGATCAAATGGTTGACTGTGTGCTGGGTGTGTTTTTACTATGGGGCGGTGTCTGTTTGCTTCACTGTAAGCACTCTGCTTTGGATGGCTGTGCTGTGCTCAGCCATCCAAAGCGGTGTGCCCGAGCTGATGGAGGATAACTTAGTAAACAAAACAGTTCTCCGCCCCGTCGGAGATCCTCGGTAATCACCAGCCGGGACCTAGTGATTGACAGCCGCGAATGGCGGCGTGGGTAGGGCGTGTGCTTGCGCCCCTACCCATATATGCAAAATCACGTGTGTGTATGTATGTATGTGTGTGTGTATATATGTGTGTGTGTATATATATATATGTGTGTGTGTATATATGTGTGTATGTATATATATATATATGTATATATATATGTGTGTGTATGTATGTATGTATGTGTGTGTATATATATATATATATATATATATATATATATATATATATATATATTACAGTATTTATGTAGCGCCAAAGGGTTTGCTCAGCGCTGTACAATAGCGAGGGGGACAGAACATGCGACAATACAATACACGAGGGGTTCGAGGGCCCTGCTCTTTCGAGCTTACAATCTAGGAAAAAATATATATATATATCTGTGTGTGTGTTTGCGCACCCGTGCTGCCCTGTTAGTGTTTCTGCTATAGGGCGGCCGGGAAGCGGTTAAAACCTTACTTTTTCAAGATGGGTGTACTCATGCTGAGCACTGTATATGGAGGTTACCTTAGCTAATCGCCTAAAAATGCCTGTCCTGATATGTTGGCACCAGGGTCTGTATCACTGACGTTGTACTGGCATGCAGATCAGGAATTTTTTTTCATCTGCTTGTCTGTTCCAGGTCAGGAACTCAGATGTTGTCTGACAGTCAGGCCGCTAGTTCTTGAAAGAAGGTAAACAGTGGCAGCTTACACATTTCTTCGCTATGTTTCTTTTAGAGCCCATTCACGCTTGTGCAACTTGTCATGGGACTTTGGGGTCCAAAGTTGCATGACAAGTCGCACCCATTTTTTTTCCAATGAGTACCATTCATTCAATGTGGAAGTACATTACATTTGGTCCACCTTTCATGTGACTTGAGGGCCATAAACTTTAATGTTAACCCTCCAGAGTCGCATGAAAGTAGCACCTGAATGATATACATGCGACTTGTGTGTGTGTGTAGTTGTACAGCACACAACAATCATCCTTGGTCAAAGCCCAAATCGCAATGAAAATCACACTATTTTGAAGTCACAAAAGTATGAATGGAGCCCTAGCTAAATATTTGACCACCTATTTAGTGTACTGGGGTCAGGTGATCAGAATGGGCGATGGTGTTGTCATAATAATGTAAGTCCACTTTAATCTTTTTCAAATACGTGGTTAGTGAGAATTTCCTTTACAACTGGGTTGTGCAAAAGTGATGCAGGCTTTGCTTAGTTACATCTGTTATGTGTAACAGTTTTGTATGTAAAGCTCCAGTTTTCAGCTTTTATAGGTTAATTAACTCCGATTAGATTCAGTACACTCTTCTAAATATATAAAGAACACTCCAAGCATTGTTTGTATTGTGCCTGTATGTTTCTAAACATCTGACATAAGGATTCAAAATATAGGACCTATGTAAATTCACTGAATCATAAGTTTTATATGGCTTTTGAGAATATTTTGTTTCCATGTCTTAGAATTTAAAGTGATATTAAAGCTTCCAATTTTGTTTACATTAAAATAACAAACAAATGTTATACTTGGCTGCTCTGTGCAATGGTTTTGCAGAGCAGCACTGATCCTCCTCTTCTAGGGTGCCCTGCAGGCTCTCTTGGCTGCTCCTCTTCTCTGTGTACCACCATAGGTAGCCACTTACTGTGGTGGCGCACACATGGGCCTGTTACCAAGCCCCCCTGTCTGTGTCTGACAGACCGCAAGGCTCGGCCCTGCCCGCTGTTCCTTTCTCATAGGATTTGATTGACAGGAGTCAATGGCTCCCGCTGCTATCAGTTTGCCTAGTGACCAGGGACAGAGCCAGGAGAGGCGCTGCTCTCATGCACATTGCTGGATCAAGATTGGCCTCAGAATAAGTAAGAGGGCGGGGAGAGGGGTGTGTTGTTGTGTTTTTTTTTTTTTTTTTTTTTTTTTTTTTTTTCTCCTGATTTAACCTTCAATGCAGAGAAAGCATTAGGGTAAAAAAAAGGCAGACTTTAGAACCACTTTTATCATCCACCAAACCTGTATACTTCACGTGCATCAGTAAAAATATGTTGTCGTTTGAGGCTACAGGAAGTTTTTTTTTTAGAACATATGATGCAGACTCAAAAGCTAGTTGTGTGTTTGTTTGTTTTTTTAGAGTTTGTTTTTTAGACCACTATAGTATAACCATGTAATTGATTGTACTGTTGTCATAAGCCCTGATGGAGCATCAAACTCTGGTAAAGAAATTACAGCATGCTTCTTATTGTTTTTGTGTTTTAAAACGTGCATAATTTTTTTTCAGAAATGGTTGAGTCTATGAAGAAAGTGGCCGGGATGGATGTGGAATTGACAGTAGAAGAAAGGAATTTGCTCTCTGTTGCATATAAAAATGTGATTGGAGCTCGAAGAGCGTCCTGGAGAATAATCAGCAGCATTGAACAGAAAGAGGAGAACAAAGGAGGAGAAGATAAACTCAAAATGATCAAGGAATATCGGACAATGGTGAGGCTTCATTATTTGTGTGTATATTTTTCTGGGGTAAAATAGTTACGTTTCTGGAAGCCCCAGAATGTACACAACTGTTCACATTTTTACTGTCACATTTCACATAGAAGTGAATTGGGTGGCTATAAAGCCACTCAATTGCTTCTGTACACTAGTAATGAAGCCACCCCCACCTGACCCCTCTGGGGTTAGAAGAATGCATGCCTTAGCCCTTCCTTGAAAATTGTCTTTCTCGTACATCACAGGACACAGAGCAGGCCATAATAATGACTGTGGGTTATATGCCACCTATAGGCGAATGAAAATTGGCCGAGCAATCAAACGGGAAGTTCTCCATATAACCCCTCCTACACAGGAAGTACTCAGTTTTTTCGCCAGTGTCTGTAAAGTGCATGTTCACTGAACGTGTGCTGCATATGCCCTGTGAAGCATACTAGGAGGTCTGGAATGACTCCAGAGAGTCAAGGGCCCCAATCTGATGCATTTAAAAAGTTGTTAGCCAAAATGGATGATACCCGAGACTCGCTGGATAAGAAGAATCCTCGTGGTTTTGCCTGTAATGTGGCTTTACCACGCTGGGCCTTGCGTTTTCGAAACCCTGTGCAGTTTGATCTGATCAAGGTGATTCCAAGGTCCAAGGTAGTGGCCCCCATTTTAAAAAGGGGGACATAGTCCGTGAAGGTCTTTAGGACAAGGTCTGCTGTGACGGGTGTAATTTGGTCCCTGGTTGAGTTCAGGGGCCTGCGGCAGAATGGTATGAGTTTCTCTATATGTATAGATCTGTATATGCGAAGGAGTCTGCTGTGGTTGACTGAGAAGACTTCCAGGGGGAGTATCCTCCTCCTTCTCCTTCCACCTCTTCCTCTCATAGGATGCTGATGCTCATAGCAGCTGCAGCCACCTCTTCCTCTCATAGGATGCTGCAGCCACCTCTTCCTCATAGGATCTCATAGGATGCTGCAGCCACCTCTTCCTCTCATAGGATGCTGCAGCAGCCACCTCTCATAGGATGCTGCTCTCATAGGATGCTGCAGCCACCTCTTCCTCTCATAGGATGCTGCTGCCACCTCTTCCTCTCATAGGATGCTGCAGCCACCTCTTCCTCTCATAGGATGCTGCAGCCACCTCTTCCTCTCATAGGATGCTGCAGCCACCTCTTCCTCTCATAGGATGCTGCAGCCACCTCTTCCTCTCATAGGATGCTGCAGCCACCTCTTCCTCTCATAGGATGCTGCAGCCACCTCTTCCTCTCATAGGATGCTGCAGCCACCCTTCCTCTCATAGGATGCTGCAGCCACCTCTTCCTCTCATAGGATGCTGCAGCCACTTCCTCATAGGATTCTTCCTCTCATAGGATGCTGCAGCCACCTCTTCCTCTCCTCATAGGATGCATGCATGCTGCAGCCACCTCTTCCTCTCATAGGATGCTGCAGCCACCTCTTCCTCTCATAGGATGCTGCAGCCACCTCTTCCTCTCTTCAGTGGACTGCATTGGAGTGTTATTTACTAGCCTAGGCGAAGTTTATCCTGCATTGTGCCTACTGCCAGTGCGTCCCCTTCGACATACTTAACTAAGGATCTTGTATCAGCCTTAGCAGGGTTAGAAGACAAGATTGCTGGGATGGTTGCATCGGTGGCTCGAGGGTAAAAAGTGTTAAAGATCCCCATCTTTGGACCCACCAGTCCTTGAACAAGATTGGTTGGAACCTGAGGATGAAGATGCAGTAGAGGATCTTGAAGAGGGGTTGGCTATTCATTCTCTGTCAGAGGAGTCACAGCCTGATGAGAAGCAGGGGAGTTTCTGCTTCTTAATCACAGAGGTTATTGGTTAAGACCCTCACTGATATGGTGTGGTCAGGTTTCAAGTTACCCCCAGTAGAGGCATCTGAGGTCTCCTGTTCTTCTTTGGGCTCATTGAAGCCGCCCTCAAAGTATTCAGGCATTTCTGGTGCCTCCTCTTTTTGGAATAAGTTATGTATGCTGACTCTCTTCTGTCTCCTATGGAGAAGTTTGTTAGAAACTGGGCTATGCCAGGGGTAGACGCAACTTTGTCTTCCCTGTATAAGCATTTACGTGTCCTATGGATAATGCCCAGGTGTTTAAGGATCCGGCAGATAAGAAATTATAATCACTCCTCAAGGCTTCTTTCTTCCTGGCAGGGGCTTCCACGCAACCAGCGGTTTCTGCTATCGGTATCTATCAGAGTCTGAATGTGTTGAGCAGGTGGTTAAAAGACCATCTTACTTTGAGGATAGGGTTGTGGATTTGGCAGATTTATCACAGGCCTTGTGTTTTGCAGTTGATGACATTAAAGACTTGATTCAGCAGATCTCTCGCATGTCCCTTCTGTCGGTACACATGCGCATAATCTTGCGGTTAAAGAGTTGGGTGATGGAAGCTACCATGCAAAAGATTGGCTGGTGTTCCCTTTCATGAAAACGTTTGTTTGGGGAGGACCTAGACAAGTATATCCAGAAGATTTCAGGGACAAAAAGTATGCTTTTACCCTTTAAGAGAAAGTCCAAACGTTCAACCTTTAAGGGTCCAGGCACTTCAGTGGTTTGTGCTTCTTCCGTTTGGCAACCATTTTTACCATACACAGGGCTCTGCATCTAGGGGAAAATTTCAGGGCCAGAAGAAACCCTGGGTGCAGAAGCTCGCCAGGTCAGATTCTAAATCTGCCTCATGAAGGGTGCCCCCACTTATGCAGGTGGGGGGAAGACTTTTGTTTTTTGTGGAAATCTGGAAAGAGCTGATCCAGGACAAGTGGGTCACTGCTACAGTTGCTCAGGGGTACAAACTGGAGTTTTTGGGGATTACTACTCCTCGTTTCTTAAGGTCCAGTGTACCTACAAATCCATTGAGAAGGGAATTTTTTGTTTTAGGCACTTAACCGGCTGTTGTCCCAGGGCGTGATTGTGGAGGTTCCAGTGGATAAAAAGTTCCAGGGATTTTATTCAAATCTATTCACCAAATCCGAATGAGGGTTCAAGGCCTATTCTAGACTTAGAGGCTGAACCGGTTCCTAAAGATGCCTTCATTTCGGATGGAGTCAGTCTAGTCACTAGTCGCATCTTTACAAGAGGGAAACTTTCTAGTGTCCAGACATCAATGACGCATACCTTCATGTGCCAGTATTTCCAGCTCATCAAAAGTTTCTGTGGTTTGCGATAGAAACTCGACATTTTTAGTTTGTGGCACTACCTTTTGGGCTAGTCACTGCTCCTTGAGTGTTTACAAATATTCAGGCTCCAGTTCTGGGGCTGCTCAGAAATCGGGGATTATCGATTTTGTGATATCTGGACAATTTACTGCTCAGGGGTCAGTTGGGTTCAATCCTGAGAAATTGTGGTCCTTGAGATTCATATTCTGGAATGCTTAGGCTGGGTGCACAACTTTGAGAAGTCTGCCCTGGAGCCAGTACAGGGTCTGGAGTATTTGGGGTAGTCCTAGACACTGTCCAGGTAAATGTGTTTCTGCCTCCAGGAAAGAGCTGTGCCCTGAGAGATCCGGTTCAGAGTTTGAGGAGCAGGAAGTAGCCTTCTGTTCGTCTCTGCATGAGGTTACTGGGGAAGATGGTACCCTATGCTTCGTTCCACTCAAGACCTTTTGAAGAGAAATATTCTGTTGGCATAGAACAAAAAGATTCCAGCAGTGAATTACTGCATGTCATTGTTCCCCCTGGGTGCTGCAAAGCTTGAATTGGTGGTTGGAAGCACGGATTTTGGAAAAGGGAAGATCTTTCCCACCTGTGATTTGGAAGCTGGTAACAACTGATGCCAGCCTCTTGGATTGAGGGGCTGTTCTAGAAGGGACCACAGTCTAGGGGACGTGGTCGCTGCAGGAAAAGATCCTTCCCATCAATATTCTGAAGCTTTGGGTGGTGTGGCTTGCCCTAAGATCTTGGATGACCAGGCTTCACGGTTGGCCAGTCAGGGTCCAAGTCCGACAATACTTGGGCAGTGGAATACATAAACCACCAAGGTGGTGCCAAGAGCTGGAGGGCTCAGGAGGAGGTTAATCTCATTCTGGCTTGGGCAGAAGGGCATATTCCATTTCTGTCAGCAGAATTCATTCCATGGATAGAGAATTGGTAGGCGGACTACCTCAGTTATCGGCGGTTGTTTTCGGGGAAATGGGCTCTTCATATCGAGATGTTCTAGGCAATTACTAGCATTGGGGGTACCCGGACGTTGATCTATTGGCTGGACAGGTTTGTGTACCCGGACCCCAATAGGGGTATATGCCTTGGTGATACTATGGGATCAGTTTTCCCTAATCTATGCCTTTCCCCTGATTCAGCTGCTCTCGCGGCTATTACACAGTATTTGAGACAAGGTGATTCTGGTGATTTTAGTGGCACTAGCCTGGCCCAGTAGGTGTTTGTACACGGACATTATCAGGTTAGCAGTGGGTGATACTTGGCCTCTGCCAGATCAGTCAGACCTGATGTCTCGGGAACCTATATTGCACCCAGCTTTACGGCCGCTGAATTTAACGGCATGGCTGTTGAGACCCAAATCTTCAAGGATAGCGAAGTGTCAAATTCACTTATCAACACAATGTTGACCTATTGCTTCTCACTCTTTCGTATTTATATTTTTTTTTTTTTTTTTCTTTACAGGGAGTAATGCGTACTGTTCTTCCTGTCAGACAGCCCCTCTATTCTTGGTAGTTGAACTTGGTCTTGGCAGTTTTTACAGAAACCACCGTCTGAACCTATCAGGGAGATTATATTCTGCTAACTCAGTAGGTTCTGTTTTTGGTGGCAATCCCCTCTGCAAGAAGGGCATCGGAGTTGGCAGCTTTCTTGTAGGGGACCATTTTTTGGTTTTGCATCAGGACAAGGTGGTGTTATGGCCTCATCTGTCCTTTTTGCCAAAGGTGGTTTTTTGCCTTCATTCTTTCTTAGGCCTCTATCGGCAAAAAGATCTTTGCATGCCGTGGATGTAGTTCAGTCAATGAGAGACTTTTTGAGAATGACCGCATAGATTAGAAAGAGTGATACCTTGTTTATTTTGCCGCAAGGTCCCAGCAGAGGACAGGCGGCACACAGACCAACTATTTAAGTGGGTTAGTCAGGCCTATGGCTTGAGTAGCAAGGTTCCACACTTGCAGGTGAAAGCATACTCTACCCGGAGTTTGGGGGCATCTTGGGCTATACGCCAGCAGGCATCAGTTGCTCAGGTGTGCAAGGCTGCTACATGGTCTTCTCTTCATACATTCACAAGGTTTTACCAGGTGGATGCCAGTCATGGAGGATTCTGCTTTTGGCTGCATTGTTTTATGTATAGCTGAATAGCTCCCTTTTGGTATGTTGGCGGCGGTTATTATGATGTCACCCACCCCTCAAGGTTATTGCTTTGGGATGTCCCACATAGTCCTTATTATGGCCTGCTCTGTGTCCCGTGATGTACTCAAAGAAATGGATTTTACAGGTAAGTATGTAGAAAAAACCCAATTTTTAACAAATGGTTGTGAGATCTAGCCAGAGATAGTTTGGGGGGGGGGGGTCAAATTGTAACTGCACCAAAGGTAAGTAGCCGGCCTCTAAATTAGGAGTTCTGGCTTACCCTTTAATTTAACTTACTTAATTCAGGTAATTGATTATACACATTTAGGCCAGAAACTGCCAGGCAACTGGGGATTTCCAGAGTAAGGTCAGCAATGGCAAACCTTGATGATTCTCAGTGCAGCTTTCCATTAATGCTCCTGTAAGCTACTGTTTCTGCAGAAAGTGGCAGGGGTTTATGTACAATGTACTGAATGACTAAGCATGGAAAGAATGGGGTTCAGAAGAGGGAAAAGTCTTGTGAGGAAATGAATCACAGATGTGTCTATGCTCACGATGCTGTGCACACAAAACTCAGCATTTTGTAGTAAACTGGAGAACTGTTTGTTGTGTAGGCCCCAGTCTTAATCACCTGTTCTTTCCATTGCATGGAAGCCATAATTGCTTTTTGGTTCACTATACAAAAAAGATGATAGGTGTCCTCTTCCTGCTTTTTAGGTTGAGACAGAACTGAAATCGATCTGTAATGACATTCTGGATGTTCTGGACAAACATCTCATTCCAGCTGCAAACAGTGGAGAGTCTAAGGTTTTTTACTATAAAATGTAAGTTCCATTTTTTTTTTTTTTCTTTTCAACTTTGTGATTATGTAAATTGTATCCGCCTGGAAATACTTTCTGCTGTTGGAGCACACCTTCTTTTCCAATAAACTGATGCAATTAAATATTTTCTAAGGTCTGAATCACACTTTTGATTTGTGGTCATGCACAAGTTCCTGCAACACATGAGTTAGTGCAATGCATTGTCATTTGTGTGTTTGTAGAGTATTACTTTTCAAAAGGGTCAAGTCTGGTTTTTGAACACATTGAGGTGCATGTCCCTCCACTGGCTCCTGCTCACCCAACGAATAAAATTTAGGATACTTGCAACAACTTTGACCACATATTTACTTCTGAGCCCTGTAGTGGCATAGGGGATCAGAGAATGGAATCCCTGTCTTCAGCAGGGGGCATCTGACCATTCCTGATGTGTCATACTGGAGATACTGTTGAAGGTTGCAGTACTGATATAGAGGGGGAGATAGGAGGCACATGCCAGAGATGTTTTTATAATTGCTCAGAATGCTTTCATCTTAAAGTTGTAGTAACTTTTTTTTTTTTTTCAAATTTTACCTATAGATAAGCTTATAATAAAGATTACCTGTAGGTAAAATGAATATCCCCTAAATGTGAATTTTTTAAGCTGGTGCATGCACTCTGAAGGAACAGCATATCCATGCCGTTCCTTTAGAACTGTGTGCCGTGGCCTGGGACTTAGAAGGGAGACAGATGAAGATGGAAGCCTTGACAGCTCAGGTGCCGGAGGGTTCATTTAAGGTAAGTTTTTTTTTTTACATAATGTGCTAGTATGCAAAAAAATATTCTAAAGAATAAATTAAAAAAAAAACATTTTATTTATACAATGTTAAAGACATGTAGTTACAAAGTATGGCGGTATCATCAAACATGATTTTACAATAAATGGAGGCAGCAGTATGAATGCATATATTTGCACTTGCAGTCCCCTGCAAGGTAAGCGGAAGTAGGACTAGTCACCAGTGGTCTCCCTGCAGCTGATCTTTCTATGTTACTGATTTTAAAGGCTCTCTGCTCTTTCCTTCCTTATCGGCTCAGAGACAGCGGCGAGAGCCGTCGGCTCAGAGACAGCGGCGAGAGCCGTCGGCTCCTGCTGCTGTCAATCACAATCAGAGAGGAGGGAGTGGGGGATCAGGGTTGAGCTATGCTCTGTGTGTCAATGGACACACACAGCCGGTTCAGGAGTGAGCACGCATGGGTACTTCCATAGCAATATGAAGGGGAGCCTAGACAGTAGTGCTGGTGGGGAATCCAAGAGGAGGATCAAGGCTGCTCTGTGCAGAACCATTGCACATAGGTAAGTAACATGTTAAAAAATAAATGAATAAAACCTGATCCTTTTACTACCACTTCAAAATTCCTTGATGGAAATGGCCATTTTGGTAGTGACCGTTTTTGCTTAATCGTTTTAAAGCCTCCAGCAAGAATGGTAAGCAACACATTAGTGACATCATCAGATCTCCCAAAGCTAGCAGTCAGAGGCAGCAGTACCGTAGAGCCTGCACTGGAAATGTACAGCTATTTAGGACAAAAGGTTGAATTTTCATGGTACTGCCTAGACTCCATTATCATTTGTAAATCTTCCATGTAAGGCAGTTTATCATCTCTTGAGGAGTTGGGTCCACTTTAAAGAATTGCATGCCCTAAAAAAATCAAAGTAAAGGTTTGTATATCTAGGCACCTCTTAATTGTCAGCAGTTTTCAGTCTACATACAGTATACAGTCTGATTGTACAAACTCCTTTAGTCCTGCCATCAACTATGTAATACTAGGGTTTACCTGATTGGTCACAAATGGAATGGATTGTTAGGTTTGTCCTTCTTTCATAGCTTTGGTAAATCTATAGGAGATTGCGCAATCCAATTGTAGAACTCAGCCCAAGTACAGAGAACATGGCAGTATCAGGGTTGACTTTGTATAAATGAGAATGTGGAAATGTTCTAACATCCTAACATACAATGGTTCTTAAATATTTAAACCTGTCATTAGGTTTTACATTTCATGGCTGGTAAGAGACCTAAATGTGCTTACTAATATTTGAATTTAAAATGTATGTGCAACCTGGCAGGCTTGAGCAATGGTAGATGACATGTCATGCAAAGAAGCTGCTAATCCCATGTAGACAATACTCTGTTAGGTAAAGTGGTTTAAGGAGAAAAAGCTGAGAAAAACCCTCCATTATATTGGCTTGCATATGGAGAATTGATGCTTGCTATCTTCAAAGCTGTGTCTGACCTTCTGTAGCTTGGGGCCCATCCTTGAGGGTAAGCAATTCAGCCTGGACATTTACACATGGTGGAGAAATCAGGCAGTGAACAAAGATGTTTGCACTATGGACCCAGTTTGATTACCAACTTTATTATTTGAAGTGTTGTTTTTGATTGATTTTTATTTTATTTGAATTTATGCTTTGTTGCCTTTATCACCATTTAAAGTGCACTGGGTGATTTATGTTTAGAATTGGACATTTGAAACCTGTTGACCTTTATTGTATTTGATACATTGCACATACCATATTAGGAATTAATACATATTTTACATGGTTTAGGAAGCGCTGCACGTTGGTGTTTTGGGGGTTTTTTTTGTGGAGCGTGAAAAGCACTTGGGGTGTGATGGCATTATCTCCAATTAGTGTTTTTTTTTGTTTGTTTTTTTTTTTTCTTGCATTTTACTGCACAGTGAAATACATTTTGTGTAGCCGAGTTGTTCTGATAGTGGGGGGCTATATAAATGGCATAAATGGGCACTTCTGACACTCTATCCCCAAGTTATCCCCTGATTTTGTTAACCAGAACACCTGGAAGTAGTCTGTCTGCAGGGGCTCCTTTTGTTTCACAATGGTAGCTTTAAAAAAAAGATTGATATGGGTGCTTTCTGCTTGCTAGAAAAGCATTAATCTCAGTTTGTCACTATAAGAAAAACAGGATATACTCAATAATCATTTTTTTTTTCTTTAACACCTTCCTACCCAGCCTATAGCAGATTGAAGGCCGGGCGGGATGCTCCTTCGGAGTGGACATTGTATGACGTCCTGTTAGAACAGTACCGCTCATGGAGCTGCGCAGTGGCACAATCCATCACAGGCTCTGTCCATGGAATACAGATCACTACACCAGCCCGTTGCCAGTGTCATGTGATCGCTGAGACCAATCACCACAAATCGCATAACAATTTTATACAATGGATGGTTTCCTTTCATGCCATCCATTGTATGCAATTGTGTTGTGATTGGTCAAAGCAGTCACATGGTACAGACAGGGCCAATCACAACCCATCTGTATCATGTGATGAGCTTTGACCAACCACAGGTTAATCACAACTAAAGACTGAATTGGTTTCATTCAGTAAAATTGGTTGCTAAGATCAGTAAAGTACATTGGTATTAGCAATAGTGTTAAGCAAAAATTCTGATCACTTGCTCAGAGTATTACACAATGTTATTATACAGGATTTATATAGCGCCAACAGTTTGCTCAGCACTTTACATTATAATGGAGATTATTACTATTGTATTGCTCTAGTCAGTGTATTGAAAAACAAATAGTAAAAAGTAACAGCTTATTTATTTTTTTAACACATACTGTTGCCAGTGTCCCTGGTCACCACCACAGTGCTGTACTGAACTTTTGACAATATGTCAAAAAAGAGGCTTTTTTTTTTTTTTTTTCAAAAAATTGTAACAACTTACAACTTCCGAAAACTCACCATGCCTCTTATTAAATACCTATTTTCCAAAAATGGGTCATTTTGGGGGTATTTGTACTATCCTGGAGTTTTCGGGCCTCAAGAAATGAGATTGGCTGTCAGTACATCAGGATTGATTGTCAGAGATATAGATATATATAGATATATATATATAGATATATATATATATATATATATATATATATATATAGATATATATATATATATATATATATATATATATATATGCGCCATAGTTTGTGGACTGTATAACTTTTCTACACACTAAATAATATACACTCATTTGGGGTACTTTCTAAATAGAAATGTAGCAGAATAAATTTTGACCTAAATTTATGAAGAAAGGCGATTTGCTAAATTTTATAACTGAAACAAAATAACCCATTTTGGTGATTAAATACCACCAAAAGAGAGCTTTATTTGTGTGAAAAAAATAGTAACTTTTTTTTTATGGGTGTTAATGTTGCATGACTGCGCAATTCAAATTGCGACAACCCTGAAAGCTGAAGATTGGGCAGGAAGGAGGTAAAAGTGCTCGCTATTGAAGTGGTTAAAAGTCCAATGCTGCCTGGTGACAGTTTATGTACTCATAGTATATCTCACATTAGAGGATATTTTTAGATGTAATTATTATTTAAATACTTTTTTTTTTTTTTTTCTTTTTTAAATTAAGGCATAACGTATTTTATATTCTTTAGGAAAGGGGACTACCACCGATATCTGGCGGAGTTTGCCATTGGCAATGACCGGAAGGAGGCTGCAGAGAATAGCTTGGTAGCTTATAAGGCTGCAAGTGATATTGCAATGACAGAACTTCCTCCAACACATCCCATTCGTTTAGGCCTCGCACTCAATTTCTCCGTGTTTTACTATGAAATTCTTAATTCCCCTGACCGTGCATGCAGGTAAGAATGACACTGACAAAGGGAACTTTGTATTTTTATAGTTTTTGCTTCCTGCCTACTAGTACTTCTTACTGATTTGTGCGCTGCATATGTGTTGGTGTGCGTTAATGAACAATACAAAGCAGAGGTGAAAAGCCCATATACTAGTACAAAAAAATAAATAATTCAATAATATAAATGCATGAACAGTGGTAATGTGACAATCCCATCTAGAAACAAGTCTATATTATTATTATTTTTTTTTTTTTTTTTTGTCTAGGCATCGTATTTTAAAGTGCTAGGTCATTTAAAGCGTCGAACTCATGTAGACATAGGCGCATTAATTCTATAATCAGACTTTGGTTGCCTTGGTAGCTCTATATACCTAAGCACAAATTAAATGTTAGGTGACACTTCATTTTAACAAGTCAGGGTTTAAAGATTAAGGCAACTTTGAACACAAAAGTGAGAGGTAAATGATAAGTTATTAAATATTACTTGTCAGTTGCATAAAGCAGATGGGGCTCATTCACACCAGTGTACAATTTGCTGTGTTCTGATTCGTAATTTATATTGGTCTAAGCACAGCAGTGTTATGAGCCCATGTACAAAAGTTAGTTTTGGGCAGTAACTTTTACCTGCATAAACAAAAGCTTGAAAAATCGATTGTATTGTGGCCAAATTTTTACCCTGTACACCCGTAAAATCTCATGCTTATATGTGTACAGTGAATTGGACCCTAGTGCTCTCATGATTATATGTGTACAGTGAATTGGACCCTAGTGCTCATGATTATATGTGTACAGTGAATTGGACCCTAGTGCTCATGATTATATGTGTACAGTGAATTGGACCCTAGTGCTCATGATTATATGTGTACAGTGAATTGGACCCTGCTGCTACTGCTAAGGGCCACCTTGTCAGAAGTAAGTAATCGGTAACCTGCACAGATAAGGAATATTGCTGCACGTCTCGGTATCTTTTTATTGAAACATTAAAATGACATCACAGGTATGACAGAAACATTAAAAAGGTGACGTGTTTCGCCCTAAGTTTAGCGATTACCCAAACTTCATAGGCCACCAAGATTCATGAGATGCACTGAATTGCATGTGTATTAGTTCCTCCTAAGATAGATACAGAAAATGGAGCAGTGACTTTGTATCTTGATGAAAAGTAGTTTGTTGTTTGTGAAATTGCAATAATGCAAAGCAGTCAAGACTTGTGAGCTTCACTAACAATGGCCTGTTTAATAAAGGTTGGCAAAAGCAGCATTCGATGATGCAATTGCAGAACTGGACACACTGAGCGAAGAAAGTTACAAGGACTCTACGCTCATCATGCAATTGTTACGTGATAATCTGACACTATGGACTTCAGATATGCAAGGAGATGGTAAGTGTCTTTGTACATCAAAATGTTTTCGTTCTGCATCTTATGGAGAAGAGGTTCGGGAAGGCTAAAAATCTTTTACATTTTATCTCCCATCAAGCAGGTGCTGGCTTTTCTTGATTGCTATGCCGCGACACTACAAGCCAGACAGGGATTTACTGCAAATAGTATTGAACGTTAACACCAATCCAAAAGACTTCAAGGGATTTCTTTTTGTAGGAACAGTAGTGTTTTTAACCCCATAACTACAGGCCAACACTTTGAAAAGCTAGCACCCTCCTTGTAGATGTACACCTTTTATAAAGTGATTTCTTTATGCTTCCATTCACATACTGTCCATTAATCTCATTCATCTGCTTTCCAGCTGTGATCTTTGTCACATGACAGTGGTTTCTAAACGCCACTTTTTTATAACATTCTCTTTCTTGAATGCCAAATCCACCCAAATTTTCCCAGCTTTGAGTTCACTCATTTGCAGCTTCTTGTATTTCTTTAAAGTCCACGATGACAATAGCTTCTAGTGGAAGTTTTTCCATCCCAACAAAGCTGGGCTCTTTAAAGGAAGAAACTGGCATGGAAAGAAATCTGAGGGATGTCATTGCTTACCATCTCCCTAGAATGCTAGTTGCTTGACTGTCCTGGTTTTAGTCGTTTGTATTGACTCTTGAGCAAACGTCAGCAGATGATAGGACAGTCTACCGAGTTTCTCAGGGTTTGTTCTTTCTAGAGACTGTAGTGGTGTGTTGTCTGTGTTTTTTGCTTTTTTTTTTTTTTTTTTTGTTTGTTTGTTTTTTGGGGTGGGGGTTAACCCCTGGCTCTGACCGTAGCCATGCAAAAGTTCAATGCTAGAGTTAATTGGCAATTGTAAGGCCAATTCTTGTGAGCTCCAGAGCTAGCATAGGATTTAAGTGTTTCTGCATCTATGGCTACACTGTAAGACAAACCGAGACTGCTACACCATGCCTTTTTAAACTTGTGTAAAAAGGTAACTGTCTATACCAGTGATTCTCAAACTTTGTTTTTTTTAGTCACAGCACCCTCTAAATTTATTGACAGTTTTGAGACACCCCATTCTAAAATGTAAAAACTTCAAATCGTTTTACATAATGCGTCAATTTTCACACACACAGGACATTAGAATTGATTTATTCTTACTAATCAAATACACTTTTGCACAATGGTACTGACTAGTATTCCAGTGTTTCTCTTCTCCCTCAGTCTTTCCCCATCACTGAGCTAATGTGACCCCAACACTGATGGAGAGGGGCAGGGGAGGATCAAACAAGAATACTGTGCAGACAACATCCCCATATACTGATTTCATTGGCTGTTGGGATGCTGGTCATAATGGGGCACAATGAAAACTTGTGGCTTTGTGTAACTAAAAGGCAGGCTTGATCTGCGTGTATATAATTTTTAGGCTTTTTGCCAAGGCACCTCTGAAGAAACCTCAAGACACCCCGGTTGAAAAGGGCTGTCTAGAACAGTGGTTGTCCTCAAATGCGGCCCATGACCTCACCAGAGGGCCGCACATAATGTTCAATATAGGTAATGCTTCAGAGGACTGTCAAACTGCAGACCTAATAAAGGAAATGAGGGTCAGAGTGTGGACAGCTGCATTTGTGGTGGGGATATGCTGCAGAAGACAGTACAAAACTGGGAGGATGTTAAATGAGGTCAGTAGAGACCAATGTGATTACTCTAAGTGCTCATACTACAAACTGCTGAGGTCCGAGGACTGCACATCATATACCAAAGGGCCAAAGGTTTGGCACCAGGGGGTCTAGAATGTTGGCAGAAAAGCTGTGTTTAAATTTTTTTTTTTTTTTTTTTTTTTTTTTTTTTTTAACAAAAGCAACTTTTAAATCCATATACTTGGTGACCTTTTTGTGGATATCCAACCTTCGGTCTGAGGTTTATGTAGTAAAGTGACTGTAGGATTTCAGACATCACATGGCCTCAAATGCAAAGTAGTAAAACGGGCAACACTGAAGAAATTCATTCAGCGTTGAGTTCTGTCTTCATCCATCACTGGGCTGCTGTCTTTTGGTTTTCTTATGCTTTTAACATCACCACATGATCTTGTTCTTCCCTTTTTATGTAGATTCCTAAAGGAAAATCCACGTGTCCCTTTCCTAAATATTCTTTGTAAGTTGCTGTAATGACTTCCTCACAACAGCCTTGTTTTTCTGTGTCCACTTAACCATTGCATCTGTCTGCTCCGTGTGATCGTTCCACTTGAAGCTGATCAGTTGTAGCTTTAACAATGGATGTCCCCATGTTCGGGCATGGCATCACCACTACTGATCTCTTTAATTGTGCTTTTAACTTGTTAACCAACTATAGACAGCAGCGCATGCCTCTGAAGAAAAGGGCAATTTGCCTTCAGGCAACTGAAATAATATGTTGTGAATTCTGGCTTAGTGTTTAGTCTTGTTTGGATAAGTGTGTTTACCCCTTTCCCTGCCTAATAAAACATTGGATTAACATTTACTAACACTATAAATTATGAATGCCAACCTGTTGGGAAAACAGCCTTCTGTGCCATAGGCTCTAGTGATGTTTTTTGTTTGCAGTCCTCTGCGGTTGCCTTTTGGTTTCATTTGCAGATTTTTAACGCTTGATGGACTAATAAACATGTAAAAGTTGCATGATATACAGAAGGGTATTGTTACATTTTGAAATATTGAGATAGCCAAGCTTTAGTTTTTAGTTTTGTTTTTTTTTTTGTTTTGTTTTTTACTTTTAAAAGCCCATGCCCACTGGGCTTAACAAAAGCTGCTTCTACAGGTTTGCCTGTACATAGTTACATAGTTAGTCTGGCTGAAAAAATACAAAAGTTCAACCGTAGAAAAAAAAAAAAATGTATAATCCTATACCCACAGTTGATCCAGAGGAAGGCAAAAAAACCCCAGCAAAGCATGATCCAATTTGCTCCTGCAGGGGAAAGAAGTTCCTTCCTGATCTCCCGAGAGGCAATCAGATATTCCCTGGATCAACTTTACCTATAAATGTTAGTATCCAGTTATATTCTGTGTATCTAGGAAAGAATCCAAGCCTTTTTTGAAGCAAACAGGACATTTAGAGGCATATTCTGAGCTCCGTGTTCTAGAGGCAGAAAAAAAAAAACTTCTGGTTTTCAGTGCCTACAAACCGCATCCAGAACATGTCAGTCCTGAATTTTTTTTTTTGGTTTCCCCTTATTGTGGTAATGTAATAATAATATAAATAAAAAAAGCATAGGAGTCTTCTGAGACATGAGCAATCAGGTCTTGTTAAACTGCTTTATACAGCAGGAATCCTTTCACAGGGTTCTCATCAGAATAGGGTTGTTGGGCTAGAGGTGTAGAGATGTAGGTTTGAAAGATTCAGATCGCTGTATATGGTCCTAACAGATCATTTTGCATAGGTATAACACGGTCATGTGAATGCACATAGGAGAACCCCAGACCATCTTCCCACAACTAAACTAATCCACCAATCTGATGTTTTGCTGGTTCTGTTGGCCTTTTCAGAGTCTTTCAAGGAAATTTCTTTCATTTTAGGGGTTTGGAATGCACTTGAAATTTTTTATTTTTTCTATTTAATGTATGCTGGCATAAACGTGCAATCCTAATCTTGAAGATATTTGGAGATTTTACCAGCTCCACTGACCATGCTCCTCTGTAAGTCTAAGTTTAGATGTAAAAAAAAAAGTCAGCATAAGGGATGTTACTTTTTACGTGGCATGTCCCTTGTGCTGGTAATTTCAGTCATGGTGTGGAAGTCTGTCCTGTGCCTCCTTTCCACAGCTATTATCTTCTTGTGCTGAACATATACTCCTCGAGTGAACAAGGCTGCTTGTCGAAATGCATTAGCTTGCTTTTTATGTCACTCATGTATAAATAATAAAAAATATCTTCATATGGTCTTCGGAGTTGCCAGCTTTCTGTGTCCATATTGCATCCAGTGGTTGGAGGGCACTATAGATCCTATGCACACCCATGTTTGGATTCCTCCACTTAATTGGAGGTGTGTTATCCTGTGAGCGTTGCTCTTGTTTCTTTGTCTTAGTGCCCAGTCACACTGCTGTGATTTGCGGATTGAAATCGTACCTAATGAATGTAAATATCAGTGTCTTAACACGTGCGATTTGCTGCAGCGCGATATCTAAAGTAGTTCTTGCTGTACTTTTTCTGCAGTTTTGTTTTGCAAGAAATTGTTAAAAATCTTCACAAGGAGCAATAAAGAGTTCAGAAATTGCACACAAATCGCGCAATTTTAAATTGCAACAGTGTGACTGATTGCTTAGACTTAAAGTATCTTTAAACTTGAAACAAAAAAAAATACTACAGCTTTAAAAATAAAAAGCATATACCCAGTGAGGTGACCGGCAGGTGATAGACATGGAACAAGCCCTCTTACATGAGTTGTACTGGTCTCTCTGCAGTCTTCTCTGCATCTATCCAAAGTGCTGAATTTATAAAGTTTGTCAGAGTTCAGAATAAAGGGTCATAGAGCTGAAATTACATGCTGCCCAGCTCAGTGAGGCGCGCTCCCCTATCAGTCTGCTGGACGTCCCTCCCCATTTTTCTCAGGAAACTTGTCAGAAGTGATTCATGCTGATAGAGGAACAAAGCAACAGACCGAAATGACATTGAGTGCTCTTATTGAGACAAGGGATATGCTTTGTTCATATTTCATGTCTGAGGGTTACAACCACTTTAACCCCTTCACGCCGGCCGCACGCAAAGGTGCAGCCTCCTGGCGTCTGGGCCTAGATGCCGAGCGGCCGCACATTTGCGTTCATGTAAGAAAAATATGCGCTGAGAACGTGCGCTCCAGCACATGTGAGGTACTCACGAAAAGGTCTCGGTTCGCTCTTTCGAACGGGACCTTTCCCGATCATGTGACGTGACGTCACAGTGGCCACATGACACTAAGCCCAGCCCACCTCCCAGCGCAGGAACTCCTCTTCGGGACAATCCGGCGTGAAGGGGTTAAGCAGTTGTGCAACATGTGACCCATTACAGCGAAGCACCATCCACTCGCCTTGCCCTGCAGACTGTAGCAATGGAATAGGAGTTACATGATCGCTGCAAATAATGATTAAAAAGGCATTTATTCAGTTATGTTTTGGCTGGTTTTACTATGAATTGTCTGTTTACGGTGTGTTTAATAAAACAGAATTGCGGAAGGTTCAGCTTTTTTCTTAAGATGGTAAGGAAAGGTATTTTGTCTGAAGATGGCAGTGCAGGATGATCACTGAATGAGCAAACGGTTGTACGTACAGTGGACATAATTAAAGCTGGCTGTAGATGGATCAAAATTCAGCTAGTCTCTGCTGAACCGGCCAAATTTCGATCCTTTTGTGGCCATCCCTGTTCAACAGAAGTCAGTCGAATGATGGAAATATTTTTGTCAATCATCGACTACTGCAGTTTTGTTAGACTACGTCTTGTGGGGGTATTACTCATCCTTTTTTTGTTTTTGTGGATTTTGTTTGTTCTGAATGAAGAAATAAATATGATCCATGGCCAGCTTTCTAATAAATTACTTTTATTCATTTTTTTTCACCAATAAGATGAAACTGTTTTCTAATAACTAATTCTTCATCTGATTTGTTCAGGTTCTACCGTAGTTTACCTCTGATTCTTCAGAAGATGATTGGGTTGTTTCTAGACGTTTTAGTTACTAGTGGTTGGTTGGTGATGCTGGGCGTTTTCAGAAGCTGCATCTCTTCAGATGTAACAGGAATTCCATACATCAGAATGCAAAATGATAGCCGGCCAGGAACAAGTTCTATTCAATTGTGTTTTGCACAATGCACAGCACTTTTTCCTCTTCAGAGTTTTAAAATAAAAATGTTATAACCAGTCATCCTAGTTATAATATGGGTGAGGCAGGGGATTAAGGTGGTCTAGGGCAGTGTTTTTCAACCTTTTTTGTGCAAAGGCACACTTTTTTCATGAAAAAAATCACGAGGCACACCACCATTAGAAAATGTTAAAAAAATTTACCTCTGTGCCTATATTGACTATATATAAAGTAATTCTCTTGAATAGGAATCAAACACAAAGAAATTATTTTATAATTACTTTATTATGAAATAATAAAGTATTTTATAATTGTTCATATTTCTGTTTACTTACTCAGTGCGAAACCTGGGCCTGTTTGGCTGAACACAAAGCTGATATTCTGTCAGGAATCGAATAATTAATCCCCCCTATTGTAATTCATCCCCCATATAGTAATTCATCCCCCATATAGTAATTTCCCCCATATAGTAATTCATCCCCCCTATAGTAATTCATCCCCCATAGTAATTCATCCCCCCTATAGTAATTCATCCCCCATAGTAATTCATCCCCCATATTAAGTCCCCAAGCCCCCCCTGTGTCAATTCACTTACCTTTGCTCCGCGCGTTCCTCTCGCCGTTCCGGTGTAGCATGAAAATCTGTCTCCTATGAGGATCTGTCCCCCTCGACGTATCTGCGCATGTGCCAGTTTCAGGCATTAGCAGCCGATCGGCGATCTCCGGCACATGCGCAGATACGTTGAGGGGGACAGATCATCCTGACAGTATCACGCTCCGCGGGCCGGATTAAAAGGTCCGCCGGGCCGTAGTTTGCCCATTGCTGTTCTAATGATTGGTCTATTTGTGAGCCGAGGCCACATGTTACGGATGAAATTGCAATTTTTCCCACGGCACACCAGACAATATCTCACGGCACACTAGTGTGCCGCGGCACAGTGGTTGAAAAACGCTGGTCTAGGGGAATAGGAGGCAGTGTAGAAGAGGACAGGAGCATAGAGGAGGATAAGGGGGGCTCGGGAAGAGCCAGATGGGATAGTGTGGTTAAGTACTCGCTAGCGGGACTGCTGTACCTTCAGCCGAAAGAGTAAAGGCCAGTAGAACTAGGCCTTCCTGGAGGCCTCCTGTTTTATTTTGGGTGTAGAGAATAAGGTCTTTCTTACAGAGTTTCATCAACCTTGCACAGCCCAAGAGTAATTGAAGTGTGGGAGGGCTGGGGTGTAGTACCTTTCCATTTTGAGGAAGTGCCAGAGGATAGATTAAGGGGGGTTTGAGGAATGATAAAGAAAAAAAAGAGAAGGGTGGATCGTCTGGTAAGTTTTTAATGTCTGTAAATTTCTCTTGGGGCAGAACCAGAATATGTGAAGGAGTTATGATGCCAATAAGTGTCTGTAATATCCATGTTCAATGTATGAAGAATGGACTGGCTATATCATCTAATCCCTAATACACCATTTATGAAGTGTTTTGCATATTTCTTTTTTCTGATGGCCTTCTTGGTTATCAGTCGTTTAGATTCTGAGTTGTCATGATTACTGGTTTATTGATTCAAATGTTTATTTTCCAGGTGAAGATCAGAATAAAGAAACACTGCAGGATGTGGAGGATGAAAATCAGTGAGACATTAAAAGCCAAGAAGAGACCCTCTCTAACCAACTGCCCCTTCCCTCCAAATATCCCGTCTCACTCTGAGGACCATCAAAATTTGACTTTTTACACTGGTTCTCAGGATTTAGGTTCCTGCCCAGTTGGGTGTATCATTTTTACACAGTTTAAGAATTCTAAAAGGCAAGAGTGAATGACTGTGGATTTTGCTGCTGCCAGCCATCTTAGGTTCTTTTAAGACACTAACAGGACTGCATAGAGGCTTTTTCAGCATTAGTTTGTCTCCGTGCCATCCAGCACTATAACCTCTTAGAAACACATAGAACAAGCAAAAAGACGTTACTCCGTAGGGCAGACCAGAGTCAATCGCACTGTAGAATTTGTGTGGTGGCTTTTTTTTATTTTCTAAATGTTTGAAACTGAACTTCATTCTGTTGTTTAAAATGTGGTTAGAGCTTGATGTTGCAGATTGCTTCAGAATGTCCTTGTAGTGGTTTTTGCTGTAAAAGTGTTTTCAAAACTGTGCAAAAATGTCGCTGAAAACTCTGGTGCTGGTATCACGTCAACAATCCGTGTTTATTCATTCTTGCCTCCTTTTTACTTTCCCTCCTCAGAGCAGGTTAGCATTGGAGCTGGTGTTGAATAGCCTGCATGCGTGTTTAAATTTTTTGTTTTTCTATCTTTCCCCCCTCTGCCCTCCTTTTCTCTTGCTCTCAACCTCTTTTGTTCAGTATGTGTAACTTGAAGCTAATTTGTACTACTGGATATCTGACTGGAGCCACAGATACAGAATCTGTCATTGTTCTTACTGAAACACAGCATGGAATTAACATTAAACTTAAATAAACAAAACCTAAATTAAAAATGCCAAATATTACCGTTACTTGATCTCTTATTGTCTGTGTAAAGATATTGTATTAGTAGTCAAAGTAGCCTTAAGGACCAGCTTTCATTTTTGTTTTTCCTATATCCCTGTGACAAAAATGATTCATCCAAAACTGTCTTAACATCAAAGGCCAAGTTCATCTTTTGAAAAGAATTGATTGTGCAGGTAAGGGACCTCCATAGGTTAAATGCTGTGCAGCAGAGAAGAATGTTGCTTAGTTTAAATGACATGCCTGTAGGTCTTGAGTGGCATCCCCAAAGCCTGGCTGAAGAATCCCATTGTAAACGATCACCCCATCCCGCTTAGAAGTGAAGACACCAATATGCTGAGCGCTTTTCCCCAGCACCCCAGGAGCAAGCACTTCCCCTTGATCACAGCGTGGCAGAGTGCACTGTGTATGCATGGGTTTTGAACAAGGGGGAGTGCCAGCTTTTGTGATACTGGAGGTGAACACTTAACATATAGGGTGCATCCTAGCTTCTAGGCAGGACGGAGCTAATCAATTACAATGGGAATTTTTTTGACTGAGCTTTGGGGATGCTGCTCATGGCCTACAGGTATGGCTTTTAAATTTAAACATTTTTTTTATTTTTAACTTACTGGTCCCTTGCATGGACATTTTTATGCAAAAGATGAACTTTGGCTTTTAAATAAATTCTCTGGTGAAAACGAATATTGGTCTCGGCACATAACTTGGTGGGCTTCTTCCTTTACCCCCAGAGCTCCCTGCTTTTCATAGGAGCTGCCCTGTTAGCAGCGCCATCTGTTGGTGAATCCTAGTTTGTGTTTGTCCACTTAATTTGCATAGCACTGTTAACAGAAAAGAAGGGGCCTTGGTGTCTTCGGGGGGACGGGGGGGGTCTACAGGTTTTTTTTTTTCTATACTGTGCTAAGAACATCTGTTCCATTTTCTCCCCTCCCCCCTCCAAGAAGACGCTTTTTTAGTGGGATGTGTTTTTCCACAGAACAGCCTTTTTGTTGGCTAAACCTTTTCAGTCCATCCGTTTACCAGAGGTTGGTGATGGTAAAGATGTCACCAGTTTATTGTAAACAAATTGGCTGGATGAGAATTGTCCTATTCACCTACCGTATAGTCACTGTGTATGTGATGGGTCCACTGCAGCTGTGTTTTTTCGAATAACATCTGTGTGGTTGTGTTCTATTTTTGGCTTAACATAGCAGAAAACGGCAGATATGCTCACTGCTTGCTACATGAGTATTTAAACATTCTTGAGAATTTGCCAAACCATGTCATTTTATTGAAGTATTGATTGTTGGAGGGAGTACAATAGATCAGTAGAGTAACGGCTTAGCTTTTAGTCTCTCAATGGTGTATTTTTTTTTTTTCAAGATACAATATTGCCCAAGTGTAATTGGCTTCATAAAAAATAAAGACATCCATAAAGTAACTATTTCACTTTTATTTTGTCAGAAAACCAGTTTTTGTCTTTAGGACACTTTGGTAATGTGTGTTCTGTATTATGGAAAAGGAAAGCTGTCTTGGAGAGGTATGATGGCTGCCTGTGCTGACCAGTCTTTGAAAATGCTAACTGCTTGGCTTTTGTGCCTATCCTCCCTCAGTACACTGAATCGAAGGCCTGGAACACGCATGCAGATAAGGACTTCTGGCAGACTTTTTTCTGGTCTGTGCAGTATAGCAGGGTCATGACTCTGAAGTTTTGAAAGCAGTGGGTCAATGGAAGTCAGGCAGTTGGTGCCTTTTAGGCCAACTCTGGCAGCTGCCATATGTCTCTCTGTACAGGAATACTTAAATCATTAATACAATGTTTTCACTTAAATACATAAGATTTCAGTTGGTTCTGTCTGTTTAAAGTGTCACTAAAAGCAAAACTTTTATTTTTTACATTTTGGATCAAGTGGAGTTGGATTAGAATTCTTGTCTGTGCCCCAATTAGGGATATTCATCCTCCTTTTATTTGTCAAAATGAAAAAGAAAATACCAAATTTTGGGTTAATATTAGAAGAAGAAATCTTCCAATAGTGACACCCCTGGAATTCCCTTGCTTTGGAGGGATTTCCTCTCACTTCCTGTTTGTGTAAGAAAGTGACTCGAAATCTCCCCAAATAGGACACAAATGGCAAAAAACTGACACGGGTTGTAACCCTCCCTTACTCTAGCCAAAATGGAAAAAAGTTTTGTGTTTGGTGATCCTTTAAGACTTGTGGTTAATAATGGCTTAATTGACCTGGGAGTGCACATAAATTCTGCAACATCTGTGATTGTGATGTTTCCTATGAGCAGCTGCCAATTTGCAGTAATCTGAACACCATGCAGATATAAAGGACACATCAATGCAGCTTTGTATTTATTAATACATTTTTAAATGAATACCTGAATTTGACCTGGTATTTGAGCTTTGCAGTCCCTGTACAGCAGATATGTTTAGCTGTTTGCTTGGAGTTCAGCTACAGAGAAGCATGAAGGCTGCTGAAAATGCAAGTCCCATTTAGTTACTTGCCAAGAACAAGCATGCAGCTAGTGATGTTAAAGGCAAGTCAACTCCTGACCTACCTATTTTTCATCTCTTATAAAAATCCACTGTCAATGCTTTTTATTTCAAACTGCCAAAGACACAACACATATTAACAGGAATTTCAAATGTGACAGCCCTGTATTTTCTTAGCAAAGGATTCCTTAAGAACTGAGTCACAAAGGAATGTGCAGTGCAATTTCAAACCTATTCATTTTGAATGGGTTAAAATGTTTGCATGGTGTCAAGTGTAGTGCACTTTTAAACCACCACCTGTCTGGCCGTTGTATATAAATGGCTGGACAGTGGCAGTGCAGGGTCGGGTGGCTGTTTATAAACAACCTCCCAGCACCCTGCTTGTGCGCGCTCCCTGGGAGCGCGCAGCACCGAGATCTGGTGCCCGCTGTACGCTCCAGACACAGCGGAACACCGATCATTGGACGGGACCAATCGTGATCACTGATCACATGCAGAGTAGTAAGCAAGATGTCATTTGTGACATCATTGCTTACTACGTGTGAAATCTGGGAATGATCAGAGGTCACATGGTACAAGGCTATTCACAACAGCCTTGTACCATGTGACAAGCTGTGACCAATCACAGCTCACTCAGTAGTTCTCAATGGCTGCAAGAATACAGCTAGAGAGGAGAAATGATTGCTTTTACACCCATAAATCGGTGTAAAACAAATCACTCCCCCACAAGTAGTACAGTGTCACCATGGTGACAGTATGTAAAAAAGTTTAAAAATTATAATTTTTGGTTAAACTAATTTGGGTTATTTTTTTTTTACTAAAAATATATCAATAAATTTTGGCCAAGACTTATGATGAAATACCATTAATTTGCAAAATTTTATAAAACACTTTTTTAAAAAAATTTTGGACTTTTAATTTACATAGCAAAAAAAATAAAAATCCCAGTGGTGAATAAATACCACCAAAATAAAGTTTTATCTGTCGCAAAGAAATGCTAAATTCATATGGGTACAGTGTTGCATGACCGCGCAATTGTCATTCAAAGTGTGATAGCACTGAAAGCTGAAAATTGGCCTGGGCAGGAAGGGGGTAAAAGTGTCCAGATTTGAAGTGGTTAAAACACAAACCGTATCCTGTGGTACAAAGTACTGTGTGATTTGGTGCAGGCAAACACTGCATTGTGATCTGTGTTTAGGGTGTTTGTACATTATTTATTTATTTTTTTTTTTACACCATGCAGATTGCAAAAGCAGCATGTTTTTGCATGCAGGCTGAATGGCACAGGATGCACATTGTTCCTGTGTGATTTCAGATGCAGGCATGGCATGAACTGGCCCTTCGTGTGAGTTCTAGCTTAGTTGCTTTATTGAATTCTATGTGAGATTTGGGCTTTCAGATCTCCCTGGCTGCATATGAGTTGTCAGGTGGCTTGTGTGTGACAGAATGGAGCAGTATCATTGAGGCAGGGGCTTCCAGTATCATTGACGCAGGGGCTTCCAGTGTCTGTGTACCTTCATTCTATGATTCTAATAAAGGTGAACCTGTGAGGATTGTACAGTCAGCAGGGATCACAAGTGGTGATTGTAGATGTATATTGCTGTGGGTACATATATTCAAGTTCAGCAAGAACTGGCTGAATTTCAATTTCTGTGTACCTC